CAGATATACAAGAAAACAGCCCGCAAATGACACCCCACCTGGCTCTGGCTCCGTGTAGCCCTGCGTGACTATCCGAATCTCCCTGGGCCTCAGATTCTCACTTCTCAAATGTTGGCGGGGTCGTTGTGCGGGTTAAATGGGAGGTTGGAGATGAAGTGCCAGGAATCTAGCGAACGTGGTGATGAAATATCTGTCCCCCTTCCTCTGCCTGGCTAACCTCATCTCAACATTCAGCCTCAGCATCACAGCCTCCGTGAAGCCCTCCCTGATCCTCCCGGGTATGGTCGGTGTCTTTGTCCTGGCTCGTTATATCTAGACTGAGAGCGTCTTTGGCGCTTCCCCTGCATCTTGGCCTCGGACACGGCTGTTGATCACCTCACCACCCCCAGCGCGGGGCCATAAAAGCAATGGACAATTGCCACCGCGGGGCATTTCTGATAACGCCCGGCAACATCTCTGCAAACCTCATTTGCAGCAGTAATGCGGATGGAATTCCGCGAAGCTGTCATCCTTTCTCCTTTTGGACTGTGGGCTCTTCTGAAAGCAAGATGACGCCTTCTATAAATCCAGGCACTTACAGTAAATACCCCTGAGAGATATAAAAATATTTGTGTAAAATATTTTGCATTTACGGGGCAGTTATCAATAAAGCCGTCGGACCAGAGAGACGAAGACAAAATCACCGCCCTCGCAAAGGCAGCGGAGCACGGCCAGCGGCGGGCTTCCTGGCTGTGGTGCTTAGAAATGGTAATACGGAATGAAAGGAGCCTCTCATCCCGGGAAGTGCTGGGGGAGAGACAGAGCCGCAATTGTATCCAACGTTTTATCTAAAAAAAGTAACCCGGACAAAAGCGGGGTGATGTGGGGCAAGGCACGAAGAGCCCTTCCAGATTCAGGTGTAACAGAGGATGCTCATGCCCTATGCAGTGACTCCTCGTAACCAGGGCAACCAAGATCCAGGCTGCGCTTGTATTGTGCTGAATTTCTGTGCTGTTGGTTCATCTTTATTATGGGTCACGGGTAGGGAGTTTGCGGTTGTTGGAAGTGATGACACATCCGTTTGCAAAACTGCCAACACGAGGAAGGAGAAAAATAGGTTTTCCTCTACCCCATCTAGCTTCTCGGCTGGAGCTCTGTAAGGAAAGACAGGTTAACAAAAGGAAAGCACTCACATTTGATACAAATTTTACATGACACAGGAGCCTTCATAAGGAGATGAAGCCCCAGAGAGTGCTAAGCCGGTGTGTTTTGGGGCAGGTCAGGGAGGAATGCGATAGGACAGAAGGGGGTGAACTAAGGGGGAAACCTAGAAAGTCCTCTAGGCTCAGATTCCCTCAGTGTCCCTACCCTGCAGAGACCAGGGATGCTCCCTTCCTTGGGTATGGGGAGGGCACCGCTCCTAGGAGGGTCTCGGGACCTGCCCCGGGGACCGAGGGAGAGGCAGGCAGTCCTCTGGGTACAGGCCCTTACTCCATTTCCTTCAGCTTCCTGGTACTCGAAGGTACCAGATTTTAGAGTGGCATTTCCTGAGCCCTGTCGCCAAGGACATTTTCTCAACTGTAAAGATGCAGGGAGACCATCTAGTGTACTCTTGTTTGAACCCAGTCACGTGACAACCAGACCATTGCTGTGGCCACCTGACTGGGTGTCTCCGCACCCATCCTGGCTTCCCTCCCCATCTCACTTAACAAAGCAGCCGGAGGGGAACTTCCGAAAGGCTCCTGAAGTTGTATCACTACGAGCTCTCCCCTTCGATGGCTTCCCTCGGAAGAAACCCAAAGTCCTTATGATGACTGACAAGGGCCCTAATGAACCCAATGGCTCTTGTGACTTCCCCTCTCGTCCTTTGTCCCCTTGCCACTGTCCATCAGCTCTGGTGGGCTCCTGCGGCCACCCCCAGCCCTCATCTTGGGGCCCCTATACTTGCCAATTCCTGTAAACGTGATTGTAAATTAAACGAAAGCTCCTTTCCCCCAGAAGAAATTTTAAAAACCCCTTTTCTTTTAGTGGGTAATACATAGAATATGAAAGGACAATTATCTATACTTAAAAATATAATGCTGTCTCATTGGCTCAAAGAAAAAAAACCCACATTGCTATTTGCCTATGTCTGGTTCCAAAAGTCAGTCCACAGGAAATGAGAAAGACTCCCCAGATTTTTACATTTTGGAAAGTGAAGGACTTTCCATTTCAAATGCTTTTGTCTGCGAACGAAGTTTGCACAATTCCAACATAAAACCTTTTTTTAAAACTCCTCTACTCACAAAAAAACAAACAATGCCACGAACACTTGGTTTTCATGTGATGTGCTCTTTTATAACCACTGAATAGTTTTTAAAATCGGACTAAGTCACATGAAACCAGTTTGTGCAACTTGAAGTTTTAGGTGACTTTGCAAATCTCTCTTTCAAAGACTAGCATGTTACATCACAATAAGCAGGCCCGGGAAGCCACAGGGAGGGGAGAAAAAGATATCAAAATAGAATTTGCACTTGCTGGCCTCGGATTACTTCAAACCCACTTGAACACACGAACATATTTTAGTTTTAGGCACCGTCTGGAGAATTGTGTCATGAGGCAGGGAAACTGTGTATCTGGTTAGGCCTTCCGAGCTCTGACACAGGAAGTCAGGAACGTGGGAGGAAAGAATTGGTGAAAATGTGTAGGTTTGGAGGAACTACGAAGTAAACTTATTAAAACCATAACCGTTAACATTTGACAAGTTCTCAAAAGAGAACAAAATCTGCTATAATCACACAGAAGGCGTGTTGTGCTTAAACAATTGCACAGGTTGGTTCAACGCTGCAAAAGCCTGAAAGAAGGAATTCCCTCTTCATCTATTAGAGAAATGTTGGTAGATTCAAAGGCCGAGGCAACAATGGACGACCTCTGACAGATCAAGGCCTGTTTTTGCATAAACAGAATTGGAACTTCGGACCTAAAAGGGTTCAGAGCACGTGACCCCCCAAATATGCTATCCTGGCATCAGGATCATTCTGGGCCAAGAGCGAATGAGAAAAGGCAGATGCAGAAGGTGCTCTCTGCCCCAAAGCAGAACGTGAATTCCCCTTGTGAATTCTGTATCCGGAAGAAGGTAACAACCTTCTCAGGATAACAGCAAGAACGGTCTACCCAAAGAAACTTACTAAGGAACCATTACGTTCACTAGTCCCCACCATGTATGTGCCCTCCCAGTTTGCGGCCCCTATAAGCCTCAAGCCCCCTTCGTCTTGTTATTTCTCTACAAATGTATCATTCTTTCTTAAGATGCTATTACGAAAGCCCAAGTTCTAACCACCCACTTGGAATCTTCATCAGTGAGTTTCTTCTCTATGTATCGTGTCCTGTGTGTTAATGGTTTTTCTCTCGGGAATCTTTTATCCATCTAATTTGCAGGGTCCCAGTTGCAGAGCTTAGGAGAACTTTTTTCCTCCCCCACGGATCTAAACTCACAGGCCTTGAGAATACGAAGACTCCCTTAAATCAGAGACTCAATTTCATGCATGATTTATAGGCTTGAGAGAACTTGTGCAGAAAAACTAAAAAAATAAACATACAACTCTTCTGACAAGGCAGAAGGACTCGAAGGGAAATTCTAACTGTGGGGTCAGAGGCTAACTTTCATGGTTTGAGGGAGAGAAAAGTGAGGAAAGAGAGGGGAAAGTAACAAAGTCCTGGTTATCCAATTGTGCATCCTAAAGACACTATTCATCTTGTCCCATGTCGCCAGGAACTTGTTTCTCAGAAGTCAGTGCTAAGGCGGTATTGGACGGTGAGTTCGGAGGGAGACTGTGCAAGCGGTTCCAGCTGGGCTAGCTAAGGCTGTCTGGCTCAGCCAAGTCACAACGCCTCTGGGGATCTGTTTCCTCGGGTCTAAAGTGCACAGCGACATTCTTTTCTCAAGGCTGCGAGACAATCATTTGAGAGCCTGTGTGTGAGGAGTTCTCAACTCTGCCTGCATCTTAAAACAACTTGAGGCATTAAAAAAGCCTGGGTTGCACCCCGTGCACCCCATGCATTTAGATTCAATTTTTTTTTTTAAAGATTTTATTTATTTATTTCACAGAGACACAGCGAGAGAGTGAACACAAGGAGGGGGAGTGCGAGAGGGAGAAGCAGGCTTCTCATGGAGCAGGGAGCCCGCCCAGGCAATCCCACATGACCTGAACCAAAAGTTTAATGACTGAGCCACCCAGGTGCCCCTGGATTCAAGTGTTCTGGGGAAGGCCCCACCCCCCAGCATCAGTGGTTGTCAAAGTTCCCAGACAAGTCTCATATACAGGCCCTGCCAAGGACTGCAGGCCTTCCCAGAAAGCAGCACTTCCCAGAACACCTTGAAGGGATTACCGGGGGATCCTCCCAAAATGCAGAGTTGGGACTCAATGGTGTGAGGCCTGGGACTCCGCATTTCTAACAGGCTCTAGAGGGCCTGTTGAGCTGCTCTAAACCACACTGAGTATTGCGAAGGGCTAAGTGGCCACAAAGCAGACAGTCAGTCATCTACTCTCTCCCCAAAAGGTCAACTTTTAGTGGTCATGGCATGAACTTCAATGAATGACTTTCCCTCCTTAAGAATACAGTGTTGGAAGGGCACCTGGATGGCAGTTGGGTAAGCGTCTGTGGGAAGCCTGCTTCTCCCTCTCCCCACCTTCCGCTCGTGTTCTCTCTTGCTATCTTCCTCTCTCTCCAATAAATACATTAAAATCTTTTTTTTTAAAGATTTTTATGTATTTATTGGAGAGAGAGCAAAAGTTAGAGAGAATACAGAGGCAGAGGGAGAAGCAGACTCCCCGCCGAGCAGGAAGCCTGATCCGGGGCTTGATCCCAGGACCCTGGGACCACGACCTGAGCCGAAGGCAGACGCTTCACTGACTGAGCCATCCAAGGTGCCCCTCAAATAAACTTAAAAAAAAAAAAAAATTACACACAAAAGACTATAGTGCGAGTAAGATTTTAAAGACCAAGCATAAAAGGGTGGTGCCCAGAGAAAGGGACCCGCTCCGGTTCTTGGTTACGAGAACACTCGTTGGCAGTCACAGGCACACCCACTTGCTATGGTACCACTGCTCCCCGCATTCGTTACAGATCACGTAGGTCATCATCTCTTCATCTGGACTTGAATTCCGCACCCAGCTTGGCAGGAAGAGCGTTCCTCGGGCGATTACGGTGACCTCGCAGTTGAACTTCTCACAGCGCCTGCACTTTATTTTCCCGGTCGGCGTGCCCCCGGCAGCTTGGGGAAGGTGGCGCTCCCGTATGCCAGACTTCGTGTAGGAGGCTCTCAACTGCTTCAGCTCCTCGCTTGCCATCTCCATCGCCGTCATTTCAGCAAATTCTCTCGGAGACGTGGTCCCAGAGAGCAAGTTCTGTTGCAGGTGAGAATTCTGGGGGTTCTTCAGGTTGGCAACTTTGCTTCGAATGCAAGTTTTGTACTTTCTGAGGTTCTTCGAGTGAAGGGTAAAAAGGTGCCCTTCAATTTCTCTCGCCAAGTCTTGCCACACATCAGCCTTAGGCCGATCCGTGCAAGCACTCGTTAGGGCTTCATAGAGGAGCTCTGTGCATCTGGCTCTCACAGGAGCGGCGGGATCGGGCGGCTCCCCGAGATGCTCGTCCCTGGGCTCCATGTGACTCGTGCTATTTTCAGGCACAAGCGTTTCCAGGGCTCCCGCCACACTGTGGGACGATGAATTAGAACTGGAGCCGCCTGACAGCTCATCCTGACTTGGGTCACGAGGAAGTCCGGGCTTTTCTTCCATTCTGCCCGGAGGGAGAGACGGAGGGCTGTCCCTCGGTGAGAAGCGGAGATCCTTATGAAGCGCTCTCCATTCTGACAGCAAACGCTTGGCTTTCTTTCACCGTAGGGCAGTTTCTGAGGACGCTGTACACCGCCCTGACCACGGCCGTCTCCTGGAGATGCTCTTTGGTCACCAGAAGAGCCTCCAGCTCGGCAAGGTGTTTGCCAAGATCCTCAAAATTCCTCTATCAGTTGCTCAATAAGGGAGGCTCTGGCAGCCACCTGCCTTGGCTCAGACATCCTTGCAGCTGCAAAGAAAAGAGAAAAGACGTTTCTGGGCTTCTGGTTTTTTTTAAGCTTGGGCTTGCCAAATGCAGCCTCCTGATGGGAGCAGAGCGCTTTCTGCCCATCACCTACGTGGCATTTTCTGCAAGAGTTATGTAACACAAGTGGGAGGGACCTGTTAGCAAATGGAATCTGCGCTGTGGTCTGGTTCAGTTTCAAAAGGCTGAGTCTGGGTCGTTGGAAAAAAGAAAAAAAAAGGCAGCACCGCCACCAGATTCCGCATTAACGGTTGCTTGTGAGAAGCTCACGGGAAGAGCCCTAGAACTTCTTCCATCCCAAATTTTACAAATCAATGATCTTTCCGGATCAGGATCGGTCGGTTGCTTTGGATCGACTCTGGTGGTCATGCTGAGCATGCTATCATGCCAGGGTCAGCAACAACGGGGTAAGTCAGAGCAAGGCTGTACTGTTCCTCCCACACTCAGCTATAGAGCTGAACTCCTTGCTGATTTTATCATCTTTAAGTGGTACTTTTTTGAATAACAGAATGAGAAACAGGGCAGTAAGGGGATGCTGTTTAATGTCCCAAGGAATGTGAAGAAATTGTAAGGCAGTAAGGTGGCAAGGCAGCCGGAAGCAGACCTGATGGGCCCCAGGAGTCCACGGGCACTGTGCTGACATCAGAGCCTTCTGAAAAGCAGGATGAGGGTTCAGACTAAGTGACAAGTTATGGACAAGTTATGACTTTGGACCAGCTGGTCGCTAGGCCAGTTTGGTTCCATTAACTTTTTTGTTTAATTTTGAGATGCAAAACATTGCTTGATGATTATATCTGTGGGAATCCCATACTGGACAGGTAAATGTTTACTTTATCTAACCAGGCTATTTTTCTCCCCACATAATGTACACAACCTTGCTACCTAATATCCCTGGATCTACACCTGCCCATCTCGCCTAAATATGGACTTATGCATCTTTTTTTTTTTTTAAAGATTTTATTTATTTATTTGACACAGAGAGAGAGAGAGAGATCACAAGTAGGCAGAGAGGCAGGAAGAGAGAGAGGGGGAAGCAGGCTCCCTGCTGGGCAGAAAGCCGGATGTGGGGCTCGATCCCAGGACCCTGAGATCATAACCTGAGCTGAAGGCAGCGGCTTAACCCACTGAGCCACCCAGGTGCCCCTGGACTTATGCATCTTAATGGCGGGGACCCTGTCTTTTCAAAAACTCACGGGCTTCCATTTCATAGCATTTGATATTAAATGCTCATCACTGGGGTGCCTAGGTGGCTCAGTAGGTTGAGCGTCTGACTCTTGGTTTTGGCTCAGGTCCTAACCTCAGGGTCCTGGGATCGAGCCCTGTGATAGGCTCTGCACTCAGCAGGGAGTCAGCTTGAGAGTCTCCCTCTCCCTCCCCCACTGCCCCACCCCCTGCTCATATTCTCTCTCTCTAAATAAGTAAAAGCTTAAAAAATGTCCATCACTGAGCACACAGTCTAATAACACCGAAGTGAGCACAGAGAGGATCAATGCAGTCTCCCTAGAAACCATCTGACAAGTTCCACAAAATGCAGTGTGCTTTCTTTTAGTGGGTGACTCAACTTTTATAAATTTACTATAGGGAAACGAGAGATGTAGAAGCTGTCTGGGTAAGAATCTTCTTCCAACTCCGAAGAAACTGTGAGGTCCCAAATGGTTAAACTTGCACAGAAATGTTCAGAGAAGCATTATTCTTAATAGCCAAAAAGTGGAAACAACCCAAATGCCAGTCAACTGATGGAGAAACATGTAGCTTACCCACGCGATCGAACAGTATTTAGCAAAATAGAAAGGACCCAGGAGATTCTGATATATACGACAGGGATGAATCTTGAAAGCAGGAAGCTAGTTAAAAACACAGAAGACCCCCTATTGTAAGATTCCATTCGTATGAAATGTCCAGAATAGGCAAATTTACAGAGACAGGGAATAGACTGGTGGTCGACTAGGGTTGGGGTGGAGGGATGGGGGGAACCAGTGGTGTGGAATGAAAGGGGGGCGGCTGCCCACGGGTGCGGAGTTTTTCTTGGGGAAAGTGAACAACGTTCGCTAAAGCTGACTGTGGTCATGAACTGCACAACTGTTTTTTTCAAACTAAACATCACTGAAGTGTACGCTTTGAGGACGTGAGTTGGTATGGTATATAAATTGTATCTGAATAAAGTTGTTATTTAAAAACAGCATATAGAGTCTGATCCAAATTTCATTTAAGAATCCCACGTGAAGAGAAAAGGTCAAAAACAAATACGCAAAATTTTAGACAGTGACGTTTTCTGAATGGCAAGATTTTAAAGATTATTTATTTATTTATCTGAGAGAGAGAGAGAGAGAGCAAGCATGAGAGGGGAGAAGCTCAGAGGAAGAAGCAGACTTCCCGCAGAGCTGGGAGCCCGATGTGGGACTCGATCCTGGGACTCCAGGATCATGACCTGAGCCGAAGGCAGCGGCTTAACCAACTGAGCCACCCAGGCGCCCCTGAATGGCAAGATTTTAGATGATTTTTTGTTTGTTCTTTTATTCCTCCCCATATTTTGCGTAATGAGCATGTGTTATTTTCCTAACCAGAAAAGTGATTCGTCCGATATCATTTCCCAATAAACTCCGGATATTTACAACGTTTGCCTATTGGAAAATGGCACGGTAAATGCTCTTCTACTTTCCCTCTGGAATCAGAGCATCATTAACGGTGCTACGTGACCTGTGGCTTCACCTCCAGATTAGCATCGACAATTTCCTAACAGGTCTACTGCTGAATCTAAACCAGCTGATTCTCCCCTGGGACAGACACACCCTCGGTCACAACTGTGAGGTTCCTACCCATGTTTCCCTGCTGGACCAGCTCAAGGATGACCAAGATTGCGAGTCTGGCATTTTTGCCACCAGAGGGAGCTGGCATGTAGACAACCTGGGCAGTCAGTCGGTGAGCCAGCAATTCAGGATCGTAAGAGGCTTTTTGTTGTTGTTGTTGTTAAGATTTTACTTATTTATTTGACAGAGAGAGGGCGAGCGAGCTTGAGAACGGGGTGAGGGGTGGAGGGAAAAGCAGACTCCCCACTGAGCAGGGAGCCGGAAGCAGGGCCCAATCCCAGGACCCTGGGATCATGACCGGAGCCGAAGGGCAGACGCTTAACTGCCCGAGCTGTCCAGGCGCCCTTAAGAGGCTATTTTTATCATTATCAAGTATTAGTACTTCAAGATCATTGTTTTAGCTTTTTACAATTCCAGACAGCAAACAGTGAAGGAGGTCTTCCTAAGACTCAAAGGCTCAGCAAACAAAGAACAGGCAAGGTAAAAATGCTGAAAAATTAAAAATACACGGCCTCGGGGCTGCCTGGGTGGCTCAGTGGGTTAGGCCTCTGCCTTCGGCTCAGGTCCTGATCTCAGGGTTCTGGGATCGAGTCCCACATCAGGCTCTCTGCTAGGCAGGGAGCCTGCTTCCTCCTCTCTCTCTCTCTCTCTCTGCTTGTGATCTCTCTCTGTCAAATAAATAAAAAAAAAAAACAAAAAAAAAAAACAAAAAAACATGGCCTCCCTTACTGAACATTTCTCTCACAACTGTCTGCCTGACGTCCGGGGATCTGGAAGTCAGGCAGCCAAGTCATCGTGATAAGGTTTCAAGCTGCTTAATACGCTTGAACCCTGCCCGCTTGCTGCGAAGTTTCCTAACGAAGAAAAAACAGTCCTCTCGCCTGCACTCTGTATTCATTTTAGAGTTATCACTACTGAAGAAATCAGGCTGGAAGTTTGCCGGGTGTTGGCAAGGTGGTTAATAAGAGACAGGTCTCGAGTGCCCACAAAGAGGTTAGGCAATATTTAACTCAGGTCAGAATTTCCCACCAAACGGGCAGAGTCTCAAGGAGATCCTGAAGGGGACCCTGTAGCTTCGGGGCTTCAGTGCAGTGAGCACGGCAGTCTGTCTCACCAGCGAAACTTTTCCTTACGTCTGTAAATCTACAGACATTCATGTATGCAGGCATAAGCACTCTGCTCTTTATTTCCTATGTCCTTTAAGTTACCTCTCCTCCATATTCCTTTTTCATTTCTAGTTGTGGTAAAACACACGTACCATAAGACTTAGCATCTTAAACATTTGTAAGCGTATGGTTCAGTAGTGTTCAGTACATTCGCGTTGTCGTGCCACCAACTCCCAGAACTCCTCTCCTCTTGCAAACCAAACTTTGTACCCATTAAACAGCGGCTCCCCACTCCTTTCTCCCCCACAACCCCTGGCAACCGTCATTCCACCTTCTGCCTTGAAACCGACTACGTGCTGCACGTGAGCGGACTCATGCAGCATTTGGACTTCTGGGTCTAGCTTATGTCACTCAGCATAACGCCCTCAAAGGTCACCCGTGTTGGAGCCTGTGTCCTGGATCATTTATATTCCACTGTAGGTACAGACCACGTGCTCCTTATCCATTCATAATAAACGTGTGGGTTCCTTCCACCTTTTGGCCACTGTGACTAATGCTGCTATGAACATGGGTACACAAATATTTCTTCAGGACCCTCCTTTTCAACGCTTCTGGGTAAATATCCAGGAGTGGCATTGCTGGGTCACACGGTAGTTCTATTTGTAATTTTCTGAGGAACCGCCATACTGTTTTCCATCCTCCTCCATACGTTTAACAGCATTTAACTGCTGTCAAACTTTCTGCTCCCCCTGTGGGAGAATGATGTGGATATAAAGCATTTATTGCTCTAGGAGGGTATACTGTAAAAGCAACTGAGATACAAAATTTTGAGCACTGCCATAAGAAGACTAAGTTGTGTCTCCAGTTTATAGCTCTACAGAGTTCATTCAATAAACATTTATCATGTATGTAGGACATATGAGTAGCTGAGCCTAAAGAGACCCTCTCTGCCTTGAGGGAGCTAACAGCCCAGTGGAAGGAATATGGACAAAAAACGGGCCGTGTCTCCGAAGGACAGACACGGCTGCTAGAGGCCACTCAGAGGGGGAATCCAGAAGCCAGGCTGGGCTCCCTATCATCTGGCAGGTGCTAACTGCTTCTTCCCTGCATTTGCCCTGACTCACGCCTCTTTTTTGGAGGGATCATCCTCTAGTACAGACCTCAGCAAGACATCCCCTCATCTTCCCACTTAAAGCCCTTCGGAGGCTCCCTCTGCTCTCAGGATGGAGTCCCGAGGCCCTCGGCCAAGTGATAAAAAGCCACCTTCCAGCCTCCTCCGTGACCTCGCTGATCCGCGACAGGCACTGCCCATTTCGAGGCTCTGCCTCTGTGTCAGCAACTCCCTGGGCCAAGCCTACTTCTCGCCGCCAGCGGCTGTCAGTCCTGACTCTAAGCCTCAATCAGCTGGAGAAATTAAACAGCAAACACAGAAACAATGCCAGCGCCTCGTCCCAGACAGGGATCAGAATTCCTGATGGGAGGCCTGGGTATTGTCCCAGCTGTTGAGGTGACTGATTTTAACCAGAATTGCCATCACTGCCCTGTACACACAGGCACGAGGCCTTCCCATGGCAGGACTGTCTCAGTTACACTGCCATCAGCCCAAAGATGGCTCCGGACCTGCTCCTAGACTGAATGTATGGAACTTCTGTTTTTGGATTTCTCTGATGAGCTCCATTGGGAGAGATTAAAACCACCTGCTATGCACCGCTCACCTGAGAAACTTCTCTACAATTACAGCCGGTGGGTGCAGTGTTTTAAGTGTCATGAAGCACCCAATTCCCTGTACCCACGCTCTCCCTTACCTCTTAACAGCAGGAGACAACGTGCATTTCTTGAACTCCACGTGCCATCCACATTCATGTCCTCTCCATCCTTACCATGAGCCCGAGTCAGGTAGATGACTTATCTCCATCTAACAGATGAGGAAACCTGTTTAAAAAAAAAAAAAAAAAAAATCAAATATTTGCAGTGGCTTTTCTCATGGCATGTATCAGATTAAAATTTTTTTTATTGTCTGCCTTCCCCACAAGACCGCAGAAGAATGATGTGTTTCTTTTGCCTGGCAAACACCTGGTCAGTGCTTCCTATTATTCAACAAGTAGGTTTTTTTGCTGTTGTTGTTAAATGAGAAAAGAGTGCTCCCTCTCCTCTCTGCTCGTGGGCTTCATTCTTTTCACTCCATACCAGCTTGCTTGTACCCCGAAGCCCAGTGTCCCTCAGTTTCTTCCACGGGAGCCAACCTCATCTTAATTCTAGTTCAAAAAGTCATTCAAAAGGAGGGAAAAAAGGGAAGCAGCAGCCGCATGGTGCCCACTGTGGGCTAACCGAGCAGACTCCAGAAATCAAGCGTTTGGGGATAAGGAGGGTCAAGGCAGTATAGCTCACGGAAGTGAGGGGTGTTAAGCATGTTTGGTAAGTTTCTTGCCCATTCTGTGCCTCAATTTCCTCATCTACAAAATCAGGGAAATTCCACATCCTCGAATTCATACGGGAAATAAATGAGATAGTCCTTATAAACTCCTTAGAGCCGTGCCTGTCACACAGTTAAGTCTGACCGACAATGACACAGGGCTATCATTAAAAGATTTACGTGACGTGTAGCCGCCATTCCAGGCACTGTTCTAGAGCGAGGCGCCAGCAAATTTTTACGTAAAAGGGCAGACAGTAAATATTTTCAGCTGTTGCAGGCCATCGGACCCCTGCACGGACTGTTCAGCTCTACTGCTCTTGCAGCAGGAACAGCGGCCATAGACGATACATGAAAGAATGGGGATGGCTTTGCTCCAGTCAATCTTTTTTCAAAGACAGGCAGTCTGGATTTGGCGCAGGCCCTCATCTGCTGATTCCTTTCTAAAGCAGTGCTATCCAAAAGAAATATTACACAAGCCACAGGTACAATTTAAAGTTTTCTAGTAATCACGTTAAAAAATAAACAGGGGAAATTCATGACACTTTACCTAAACAGTGTGTCCCAAATCCTGCCATTACAACATGGAATCGATAAAAACAAATTAGTGATCTCTTACATTCTTTTTCATACTAATTCTCCAAAATTCCCTGTTTGACACTACCACACATCTCAGGACTAGGCACACTTCCAATGTTCGCTAGCCTGTGTAGCTTGTGGCTACCTATTGAACAACACAGTTCTAGAGCATCTGCTAATACGGGTAATGTTTACATACATACTTGTACCCCTAGGTTCTAAATGCATATCAAAAAGAGTTTACACGGGGGCGCCTGGGTGGCTCAGTGGTTAAAGCCTCTGCCTTCAGCTCAGGTCATGATCTCAGGGTCCTGGGATCGAGTCCCGCATCGGGCTCTCTGCTCAGCAGGGAGCCTGCCTCCTCCTCTCTCTCTGCCTGCCTCTCTGCCTACTCGTGATCTGTCTGTCAAATAAATTAAAAAAAAAAAAAAAAAGAGTTTACACGTGGCAAGAGCAGGTCGTATGGATCTGTTGACTGAATGCATATAAAAGCTTGTAAATATTAACTAAGACGGGTAGGTTGCACCCATCTGCCCACACCTGGCTTAAACCCCGGGGAGAGGGGAGATCAAAGAGAAATTCTGTTTCTAGTCATAAGTCACGTACACCTCTCCAGCCACACAGGGAGGCCCTTCCCCAAATGGAGAACTGATGCCAAATGTTGGGACGCCGCCGTTTCAGAACAGCCCCTCAACACTGCGCTACTGCCCTTTCGGGTTGGAATGATCCCTGGCACAGGTGCATTGAGTGGAAGGAACCAGCCCAAGGGCCCGCTGTGGCCCGGGTTCGGGTTCCGGAGGGTGGGGCGCGGCGACAAGCGAAGCCTGCTGCATGCCGTCCCGGGGTGCCAACCTGGCACCCAGCACAGAAGCGGCGGCGGTCCCGAGAGATCTGCCCACCCAGCGACTTCAGGGGGAGAAGAGGGGCGAGGGCACGATCGGGCCTACCCGACCCAGGACGCACCGAGGGCACCCCCCGGGGCAGCGGTGGGCTTTCCCGAGCACGGGTGGTCTGAGACAACGGAGAACCCGCGACGCCGCTAACCGAGAAGCGCAGAAGCCCGGGCGTCTCGGGAGACCTCGGCGTCGGGGGCGAGTTTCCGGTACGCGGGGCAGGACCACCAAGGTTCAACCAATCCAAGCCCGCAGACTAGAGAAGGCGGGCCTCGGGCGCTGGCGCATGCGTACTAGGTAAATGGTGTCTGCGCACCGCTACTGGCTGCGGTGAATCCTCCCGCAACGGTGGCTGCTGGTGGCCCCCGGGCCTCGCTGACAATCTGGGCGCAGGGCGTGCGTGGGAAGAAAGTACCCCCAGTAATGCCTTTCAGCTGCAGAGTTTGTTGAACTACTCTACGACATACGCGTTCTGCTTTCATTCAAGACATTGCTTAGCGAAATGTTGACAAAACCTTGGCCAAAAATGCCATTTAATGTAGCAATTAATCCGACAAGTATTTCTTGCACTCCTAGCACACATCAGTTGATATGGAGGTAGTAATCATTCATTAAGTAGCCATGTACGTCCTGGCACTTCTCACCTGTACGCATTCTTTCCCTGCAAGGGTCCGATAAAATCAAAGCGATGGTAAAACTAGAGACTTTATTTTCGAAAGGCTATTGTTTTAAGACTGTTTCTAACACAAACAAGAACGAGGTGAGACACCTATAAATCTAATTTATTGAATAGGCTCTTGGGGGCCCTTGGGTAGCCTCAGCGGTTAAGCAAAGGCTTTGGGCTGGGGTCCTGATCTCTGGGTCCTGGAATCAAAGCTCTTGTCCCGCTTCCTGGTCTGCGGGGAGTCTGTTTCTCCCTCTCCCTCTGCCCCTCCTCACTGCTCATTCTCTCTCTCTCTCTTAAATAAATAACATCTTTGGGGGACAAAAAGTAAATTTAATTGAATTGGTAGGCGGGCTGGAGCAATTACATGTACTCGAGACCAGCTTTTATGAAATGGGGTCCAAGTGGCGGACTTTGGTGGGTTTGGGCCGCCCAGCTTTCAGCCGACCTTCTGAACAGCCATTTGGGCCTGCCATTTACCCTAGCCAGGTAATCCCCCTAGCCGCTGCATACCCCTCCCTGGAATATGAATTTTGAGCAGAGTAATGTGGAGACTAGTATGGTAAGAGATCATTCTAGTAACATTGGCATGCTGATCAGCAATGGCTTCTTTCCACAGCTCGGCTTCCAGCCCTGGAGCCCATTTCCAAGGCTGGATTGCTGGTCTTCCCATGCACCTGCACGCTCCTGTTTCCTTACCATAACCTCCCTTTGCTGTAAGTTAGCGGAGGTCTGGTTCTGGTGCTTGCTACCAGCAAGCGCTGCCACGGTCCTCATCTTAATGTAGCTGTGTGATTTGACAGCCATCCGAAGAGCATCCCTGATCATAGATGGTGCTGAAACTGCCTTCTTACTTGTTCCTTCGTAGTAAAGCATTGGAAGCTACTATTCTAAAAGAACAAATGTCTGAAAGATTACAGTTGGAACTCTTTATCCCCTACACCCACGTTATCTTAGAAGGGTAGCCTCTCTTCACTTGATGGAGACCAGCAGAATGGGACAGAGGACAAGTAAATGTTGACGGGGGGACATGGGAAAGAAAGAAAGGTCCACAAGATTAGATTCTTCGAGATCTCAGGGGTCACTGAATTGGAAGGTTCTAGGTATCCAGAAAGAGGCATGAGTTCACAAGACATGGGGAAGGGAGAAATGGAGGAAAGCAGGAGCAGGAGATGCTGCAGACAGCCATCTCTGCTGTTTGCCAGGTGGCAGCCACACATGGGCACACAGGCCATCACAAGAGGACACCGTTGGAACTCTGAGAAGGATCCAGAAACTGAATGCGAGCACCCAGTGCCTCACCTTCTGGAGGAGAGCTGTGTTACTGCAGCTTGGACCCATGAGGAAAAAGATTTTTTTAAAAATTAACACAATGTATTATTTGCCCCAGGGGTACAGGTCTGTGAATCATCACGCTTACACACTTCACAGCGCTCACCATAGCACATACCCTCCCAATGTCCATAACCCCACCCCCTTCTCCCTACCTCCCCACTCCCCAGCAACCCTGTTTGTTTCATGAGATTAAGAGTCTCTAATGGTTTGTCTCCCTCCTGATCCCATGAGGAAAAAGATTTTTAAAGGGAAAGTGACAGGGATAAGAAAGGGGGATGTAGAAGTTTCTGTGGGTCTCCAGGAAGACTAATGGATGTGGGCAAGTTGAGGGTTCCAGGCTTTCTGAGCAGCAGGTACATTTCCTCAGGCCTCAGCCCCATCAAAATTCCAATGCTGTTGACCTCCCACAACCCACTTGATGTCCAGAGTCCTTTGGTATCCTGGAGGGCAAGCCAGGGGACATCCCCAGTGTCGGAGTCATTGGTGGCTGGGTTATACATGAGTCTATGCAACTTTAGTTCCGACTTGCCTGGTATTTATTGAGAGCTGAATTCACTCAAGGTGTCCCAAGTTAATTGGCACAGTCAGATAGATGAAGCTCAGCTTTGCGGGGGTGGGGAGTAATACTCTTACTTTCTAAATTTTCATTGAGGTATAGCCCATATGTAGAAATGCTGGTGCACAAATTGTAAGCGTATTGATGATTCTCATAAAGTGATTCTCATAAAGTGAACACATCCATCCAAAAAGCATCGAGAAACAGAATGACCACAACCCCACGTCCCCACTCGTGCTTCCTCCTAGCACCCCCTCAGAGGGTAAACATAACCCTGACTTCTCCAGCACAGATTAATCCTGCCTCATCTTGAAACTTAGGTAAGCAGAGCCACACAGTATGTCCTTTCTAGTTTCTTTTGATCAATGCCATATTTTAAAATTCACCCGCGATGTTGTGGGCA